TAATAAATAGAAGTTGAACATAAGAATGAATGAAAAAATATACTAATGTAAAATGAAGTTGTTGCCAGGTGTAGTGGTGCACACCTGTAATTCCAGCTGGGACAAGAAGACGGCAAGTTCCAGCCTAGCCTGGGCCACTCGGGGATTTAGCAAGACCTTGCATCAAAATAAAAAATAATAAAAGGGCTTGTGGTGTGGCTCAGTGTGAAAGCCCTAGATCCAATTGTCAGTACCACAAAAAGAAAAGGAAAGGAAAGAAGGGAAGGGAAGGGAAGGGAAGGGAAGGGAAGGGAAGGGAAGGGAAGGGAAGGAGAGGGGAGGGGAGGGGAAGGGAGGGAAGGGGAGGGGAGGGGAGGGGAGGGGAGGGAAGTTGTACTGTACACTGAGAGATATTTCTGAAAGTGTATTTTCAGGAAATTGCTACAACTACAGTCTTGACCAATCCAGGAAAAATGCTAAAGGAAACAGCCTTTTAAAGTTAGAAAAGGATAGAAGGAAGTCTTACTCTAGAGAGTTTAAAAGTTCAGGCAGTATGAGGACACTAAAACTTTGGTTTTATTACAAAGTGGAGTCTTCACTTGGAGAAGTAGCGTTTAAAACTACTCCATTCTGCAGGTGGCACATAATGTATCTGTTCTACCTGAAGCCAGTTTAAGACATTTGTTCACAGTCTTGAGGTGCCCCCTGGGCCAGGGGCACTGCTGCTGCAGACACTGGGAAAACCACTCTCCCCAGAGACCATCAGAGAAGAAATGGCCCAGTCGCAGTGCTCTTGTATCTTCTAAGGACATTGGTGGTATTATCACAGGGCTGGAGTTATAGTATGCAGACCAGAGGACAGAAAGAAAGAACAATTTTCACAGCACAGAAGCAATGAGATGAAAATGTGCCATACACCAATGGAGTCTGTGCATGTGTGTTTGTGAGAGAGAGAGTGTGTGTGTGTGTGTGCATGTGCACGCGAGTGTGTGTATGAATGTGTGTGTGTGTGAGAGGAAGTGAATGAGTATGTATGTGTGTTATCCTAGATGCTCTAGAATAGATCTTTCTTTCTTTCTTTCTTTTTTTCTTTCTTTCTTTCTTTCTTTTTTGTCTTTTTCCTTTTTATCGGTACCAGGGATCCAACTCACGACTGCCTGCTTGCAAGGCAGGCACTTATGCCACTGAGCTAAACCCCCAGCCCCTAGAGTAGATCTTTCAATCATGCAAAAAGCCCTCTGGGCTTGCAGGTCTTAGGTTCACCACCACTGGCCTAGGCCTTCCTGCTCACAGGTCACTCCTCCCAGACTTGGAGCCCAAAATCAGATCATAAATCAGAGGGACAACTTTAAAGCTAACAACAACAAAATCAAAGAATGATCTTCATATATTTTATAAGCCTTTTAAAAATCTCCTCAAGGTTGTTTATTTTGATACTATTCACTGAGGAATATATGCATTTTAGTTGAAAAAAATGTAGTTCATTTTAAAAAATAATAACTTAGTAATGGAATAAATATAACTGCTCATTTTTATTTAGGGTGCCCCATCTATCTGAACACTAATATTTATGAACTTATTTTCCCAGTTTAAAAAAAATTATATTTTTAATTCTTTAGTATTAAAATGAGGATGCTTTTCTACTGCAAGAACTCATTGCCAGAATTAGCCAATAAGAAAAACAAGGGGACATGGCATTTCTTGTCAAGGTGACATTCAAAGTTGCTTTCCCCAGTCCCCAAAGGAAACTGGCAAAGAATATCTTGCAGGGAGCCCCCATTCCTTCTCTCACGGTGCCTCCTTGCAGCTCATAAAGGCCCTTTATTGCTTGTGTGCTTACCCACATAGGAAATGTATCCGGGTACCTACGGTGCTTTTCCCATTTGTTTTCTCTTCTAACATTTGATCACTGGCTGGTGAACTGTTTGGTCCCACAGAGATCTCCAGACCACCAGCTCATGTATTTGAAAGACATCTGTTTATTTGGAAAATGCAAATGTGGCTTACCTCAAAGACTGACAGGCAAGAGGTGACCTACTGAGCCAGCCAAGGAGTGGCTTCCAATCTGGAGATCACCCCCGACAGAGCCACTTAGCTCAGCCCGGGAATCCCAGAGCAGGGCCCACAATTAAACCAAACCGCTTAGGCCCTTGAGAATCAGCAGGCAGATCACTTGCACCCAGTTGAAAGTACGAAGAGGTCGCTTACAAAGGGACTGGGAGCCTTGAGAGCGTGGCTCTCCCCTGGGGGCTGCCTGGTGGAGGGCCCCATAGCAGGACACCAGCTCCTACCAGCGGCTGCCAGTCCTGGTCCCGTCCTCAGGAGGAGAAAGCCCGCCCGGGAAGGTTAATGCCCGACTTTGATCTCTGTCAAGGCATACCAGCAAGAATTAATTTACATTTCAGATGAAAAAGGTTGACAGCATGAAAAGACAGCTTGTTGCTGGTGTGTGAATGTGCGGTAATAGATCGGGAATTCTGAGAGGAAGTTCTGAGGAAGCTGAAGGGATAAACCGCGCGGCTGCTTTTATTGGGAAGGAGATGAAAGGAAAACAAATTTCAATATGCGTTGCACTGCAGCAACATGTAGGCCAAATGCTTCCTAAATTTCAAGGGCTGCTCTTTTAAAAATATATAACGTATCTTAGCAACTTAGCAATTTAATAAAAGACCACTGTGGGCCAGAACTAGAAGAACAAACAAATGCATTCAACGAAGTGCTTTACTGAAAAAACAATTAGAGATAAACCTCAGCAATGACCTGAAGTCATTTGCTAAGCTATCATCCTTCATTTAAGCCTCCTCCTGCAGGTTTCAGAGGTGAGGGGACTTGGCTCTTAGTGCACTTGGAAACACCCTGGAGGCACAAGGAGGAGCTTGCACAGAAGGGGTTGTGTGTTGGAAAATCAGAACCCCAGACAGACAATTCACAGGGAGATGCTTTGCCTTTTAGATAAATAAAATCAAGCCTTAAAATCTAAAGATAAGGAAACCCTTCTCAAGTAAAATTACACTGCCCATAAAATGCAAATGCCCTTGTTCTATCAGAGCATCTTTCCAACCTGGGGAAAAACAGCACATCAGTTCCGTCCATGGTGTTGCAGAATGACAGATACTGGTCTGCTTTCTCTCTGCTGCTACAGAGGATAGCGGTGACATTGTGAGGTGGTGTTGGGGTCACCTTCGAGGCTGCCTAAGGTCCTGCAAATAATATATGGTCCAACATCACTTGGTAGGTTGAAGCACTTTAGCTGTGAGATTATGGAAGGCAGGTGCTTACATAGTTGAAAAAAATTGAAGCATCAAGAGACATGTTCTCCCCATGGTGCACTAACCCAAAGCCCCCTACCCTACAGGTGCTGCACTGACGATGCAGTCACCCTTGTCCTGGGCCCAGGATGGTGAAGCAGTTCTCCTGCTGTGATGCCGTGTTCACTTGGCAAAAACAGAGCACAGAATAGGAAGCCCTCTACAGATGATTCTCACATAAGGAAAACTGGATTTACTTACGATTTTTATATACTAGCCTCAGTGGTCCAACAACATACAAGTTCAGAGTTTATATTTTAAAACATATGTTAGGATTTGGGCCAAACTGCCGGATCAGAAATCAACCTAGTATCTTCTTTTGATGGGAGACTCTGTGTGTGTGTGTGTGTGTGTGTGTGTGTGTGTGTGTGTGTGTGTGTGTGAGTTGAGCAAATGGAGAACAACCGATGCACTCTGAGTTGTCTTTTTTGAACTGCAACAGTAATTGCATCCCTCTTTCTGAGACTTTGAAGTTGTGGAACTTAGAATTGAGAGGAAAAAGTGTTAAATGTTACACACTTACATTTAAATGGCACCCATTCCTTCCCAATATTTTAGTTTTGAACAACATCAGCCTTCCACAGTGAGAGACCAGAGAAGAACCCCGGGAGCCCGCTTCTGGGCCGGACCTGAGGAGAGGCTGCAGCTGTCCTGCTGAAGAACGTGCTTAGAGCTCAGCTGTGTCTGAAACCTGACCTCCCTCCCTGTCCCCTGCCCACTGGCCTCTGCTCTCGCATTCCATCTCCCATTTCTCCAGAGCCTCTTGCTAACAGAGCTCCTGGCAGGCTCATTCAGAGCCTCATAGAAATAGACAGCTTCAAAAGAGGGTGGGGGGCCCAGCCTGGCAGCCACAGTGGACACAACATGTTTGAAAGAGCAGACTGACAGCCAGGCACATAATGGATGGGAGTAACCAGAGCCACAGAACTCAGGGTGCCAAGAGCCAGCTGAGTCGTAAGAGCCATGATGTGCTTACCCTGTGGGTCCCACAGGACCATGTCTGCCACCCTCAGGCCTAGATTTGGGAAAGTCCTTAAGTTACATCTCCTAAGTGATGCTAAGAGGCAGGCCTTGAAAATAACCAAACCTTTAAACTGGTGCTCTCTTTTCACAGGTGAGGGACTCATGAGTCCATATGAGACCAAAATTTGCTCCCTTAGCAGTATGTGAAGAGGCCTCAGTCCAAACTGTGTTCAAATGCTGGCTCTGCCACTGACAAACTGTGAGATCATGCACAAGTTAGTTCACCTTTCTGGACTTCAGTTACCTCCTTTACAAAATCATGAATATGCACAAGACCTGGTAGTGCATGCCTATAATCCAGCACCAAGACAGGAAGGAGAATTACAAGTTTGAGTCCTGTCTGAAAATAAAAAATAGAAGGGATGGAGATATAGCTCAGTGCAGAGGCCTGAATTCAATCTCCAGTACTTAAAAAAAGAAAAGGGGGGGGGTACTATTAGATGACCCACTCTCAGCCTCTTAGCCAAGTGTGGCATGCGGCAAATGCTCACAGTGGCCTTGCACACACACACACACACACACACACACACACACACACAGGGAGTGTGTCAAAACAAATACGAGGACCCCCCACAACTGTTGACTCACTCGAGAGCTCCAAAGTTATTAGACTTTCAGCTTTTCTAAACTCATTTCTGCATAATCACAGAATATTTTCAAGTGGACACTGAGAAATGATGTTTTAATTACCTGCTTGAATGTGAACAGCAGACTCATTCCTTCTGTTGCTTATTTTCTTAAATTTCCTCCGTGCATCATATCCTCTCCAGGCTAAAAATATAAAACCATGTGCTAGGAATGACATTAATTTAACAACGTGCCAGAGAATTGATATAAGCTGTTCCCCCTCTAATCTGTTCCCTCTCTCTTCCCTCCCTGCTTTCTCCTTGAACAAAGTGAGCAGAGATATGTGAGCTATGGTGAGAGGAGAGGCCTCTCTGTACTTACAGAGTGGCTTTAAAAAATGTCTCTGGGGAGCCATTTTTGCTCAAGCGGTGAGTTTCCAGAACACTCTAGATCCCTGACAGGAGTCACTTGGGACCCTGGCCCAAGGTGAGGTAGTTCCGTCATTCCAATCCATGAAGCAGACTTGGGGACCTTTACTAGGGGAGAGGACTTGGGTGGATGGTGTGGAAGGCACTGGAATAGCCTGACTCTTTTAATGTTTTTTATGTGGGAGAAAGATAACTATGAGAGTCATACAGAGATGGAGAGGAGTAATAATGGGACAAAACAATAGCCAGGGTGAACTCAGAGCTGAGGAGCAGCTCAGATTGGGGAAGATGGGATGGGGGAGAGGGAAGAGGGAGATGGGGTAAGGAGACACCAGGAGAAGGGGCTGGGGAGAGGGGCTAATCCTTTAGATACAGACTGAGGCATAAACCAGCCATCAGCGGCTTGCGTGGTTCTCTTTGAACAGCCTGCTCCCTCAGCCTCAGCCTGAGTATCTCAACTATCCAAGTGGCTGAGATTGCTCAGGAGCTGTAAAGTCAGCTAAGGCTCAGACTGGTTCTGGCTTCTGCTGGTGCCAAGGAATCACCCACTATGTTCAAGATCTAGTGTTTTAGCAACTGGTCATCTGTAGCACAAGAGTGACACTACAGTGACACTACACGTGACCTGTGTGTAGAGCCACTGGCATGGCTGGTGTAGGACAGAGTAGAAGTTTGCCCTCTTGGTTTACAGTTCTGGCTGGGCAAAAAAGCCTGCTGAAATGGAATTGGTGTTGCTGATGTTGAAAACCAGCCAGGCCTGGGAGTGTGTATGCATCATCTCAGCCATTCTGAGACATGGGACATGTGTGGGGTTTTACATTACTGGGTCCCTCATAATATCTCTATCTGGACACCTGTCACAGTGCACTGTAATGACCTGTGTGCCTCTCTGTGAGGTCAGGGACCATGGTGGTCTTCTTGGAGCTGCAGCCCCAGCACCTAGTAAAACGCAGATCTGTGGTAGACACTTGATAAATATTCACTGAGACAAGGGAAGAAAGGGAAGAAAGAGAGAGAAAAAGGGAAGTGGCCACTCAAGAAAAAAAAAGACCAGTAACAACAGGTGAGCAGCCCTCAGTACTTAATTAACAAAACCCCGAGACATGGGGCAGCATTTACAGACCGGCCCACCTACCTGACTGGATGGTGATGGCACCCTTCTCTCTCTTCTCTCTGACTCTTTTATATCTCCTGGCTCCAAGCCATCCCTTGGTGTATGCCTGCAGCACAACCACTCTGCCCATGACTTCTCGCAGTAGCAAATTTAACTGCTCGACATGGTAATATTTGAGAAAAACCTGAAAAGAGGCATTAGTTTTCCCATTACACATGGGCTTCCCAGTAGAAATCCACTCTATTCCAGCACATTTAATGTAAATATTAAAACTGTTAAATCAAAATGGAGTTGATGATTTATGTTGTTATTACTGACATTTTGGGGGCTGCTGAGCCTTGATTACTGACGTAAACAGAAGGCGAAGTCTCCAGGGCTGGAGTGACCCTAGATGCTCCCCAGGCCTGCGTGACATTGCGTGGGGTCCCACTTTCTCAGCTTGAGCTCTGCTCTTCCCCCACAGCCTCTATAGAGGTGTAATCAGCAGGGCCATCCATGGCCAGCACAGGAAGTTGGAAGAAGAGGGACCTGGCTGACCTACTGGGATCTAATTCCTGCCAAAGAGCTGTGGCCAACATTCAGGCTAAAGCTGTAAGGCGATTCAAGATGGGGCCGTAAAATCCGGCATCCTGCAGGGACGTGATGTTGCCCCAAATTAAAAGCTACACAAGATGAAACTAATAATCAGGATTTACAATAAATAATACAACGTGAGTTTCGAAAAAAAAAAAATGAACCATACTATAAAGGAAATTCACCACCACCGTAATATGATTTATATATTTACATGTGTGCTAGAATGTGAAGTATTCAAAATGAGAGCTTAAATGAAAGTATTTAAAGTAAGTTCAACGCTCTACAAGTAATAAGTGGCAGTCAAAACATGCGCAGAATTTTTCTCCTCAGGTCCCTAAGCTCTCTGGGCTCCTAACTCAAGACTGGCAATGACCATTTTCAGGTTGGGTGTCTCACCTGCTAAACTACAACACTTACAAAGCATCTTGCAGGTGATATCAGTGACAAGAGACAAAAGGCATGCAGGAGAACATCCTAGGTGATGATTTGAACAATAAGAAAGAACTACCTTTGTTTTTCCCAGCACCCAGTGATCTAATCTGGACTTTTCCAAGATAGTAACACAGCTCTCTTTGCTAGCAGGAGGTGTTTGATGTGCTTTGAATGCCAAGTAATAATACCTAGAAATAAAAGAGAAAAATGAAACATTTCTTTAGTCACCATTTGATTTAGTACAGGTGAATTGCTCTGGACTCACTGGCAAGCCTTCTTTTTTCATAGTAAATATTTCTTGAGCACCAATAATAGGTAATAAAAAATACACAATTTATTCTTACTAATATGACTCTTGCCTGCATTTATATTTTCTATGTCATGGGTTTTTATTTTAGTGTTGTCTCATGAACACTTAAGTGTCTTTTGTTTGTAAAATAAAAAATATCGCTTCTTTTTTTTTTTGGCTATCTGTGTGGCATCATACCTAGTTCCTAATCTTTCTGGAAAGCTGAAATTTAGACAATGCTAAATTTAGTGAATGTCATAATTTTATTTTATTTTTAGCTCTGCTTACTTACCTAAATTTTATCTACCATGTTACTAAATTTTTGGCCTCACCCATTTCATAAATTTTTTCCTCTCTTCCCACATATTTTAATATTATATTTGTTTATTTATTTTGTTTCTTTTTTATTACTATATGTTTTTGAAACATAATTATAATAGACATCTTAAGGAACTGGTACATATACATAGCACATTTTAATAGTGCTATTTTTTCCCTTTCTCTTCCCTGCCTGTCTCCCTCATTCTCAGGCCCTTTTGAAAAGTCATAATTTTAAATATTAGTATTCCTATTAAAAAAATAATTTACATCACTTTGTACATATTTGACTGCTTTCAAAAGTCCCATCTGAAGCAATTTATAGTCACCAAATGCTAGCCCAATACCACAGATTCTCTCTACTAAGTCACATGTCTTATTTATTCTCTCTACTAAGTCACATGTCTTATTTAGGAGACTAGTAGACAGTTTGGCTTGGTACCATCACCAAAAGCACATTCGTTTTCTTAAATAACTTCATCTTAGTGAACTTCTAAACTTTCAAAGGAAAGGATTTCTGGGTAGATTTGAGATTTCTAGATTCTACTCTAGAGGAAAAAGGTATCGTTCCCTTACCCATTCTAGGTTCATAGCTTAGAGATCCATGACAAGAGAAAAGTTGCCAGTTTATTTAAGTTTTATGTGACACCGGAACTTTCCTTCACAAGGAAATAGTTAAATACATGTATTTTTAGGCCAGGTTTCATGGAGAAATGCAATTGCACAAAAGGGTGTGACGTAATGGTAGAAACTCAGTACTCAGCAAGGCCTGTGTGTTCAGTGTCCACAGAGATGAGCATGTTCCTTTGCTCTGGGAATAAGAAGGCCTCTTCCTGCTCCCATAAATAGGGTCTTTATGACTCTCATGGAATCTCAGCAAATCCATGCTAAGTTCTGTGACCTGCCTCGGGGAAAGGAAAGGGAAGGGAGTCAGAGTGACCATCGTGCCCCTGCTGTTTTCCAGATGCCTGGGTGGTCACCATGTTTTGCAGTAATGTGTCCTGCATGCCATCATTACCTAAAGGGTCTTTTTCTTCCCCTTTGTCCTCCTCCTCCTCTTCCCTCTTCCTCTTTTTTGATTTTTAGTTGTTTTTTGAGGGGGTGAGAATATTCCCTACCACTGAGGCACATCCCCTGTCCCTCCTTTCTTCTCTACTCTGCCTGTTTTTTAAAGATATAACTTGTTAAATATCCTATCCTTTCAGAAAATCTTACCATTTCCCCAGAAACTTTCAAAGATCTTTTTCTTGCTCTTTGCTGCCATCTATAATTAAATTCAACCCCTCAGAAACTTAAAAATAAACCTATTCGTCAAAAAAATTTTTTTGGCCACTCCTCAGACAAGGCTGTTCTCCTATCTACAAATTACTGTTATTACTTTTTTTTAAAAAATCATCAGAATATAAAACATGTCCCTTCTTTCTGCCAAATGCACCCATACAAACCTTTCTGTTTACAGAAACATAAATATACCTGATCAGTACTTGAGTCAACCTTATTTTCGTGTTAGACAATTATTTCCTAAATTAGGATACAAGGCTGGAATTGCTAGAAACCTTTGCATTCACTGATCCTGGGACTATTTATGAAGCTCCGAGTCTGTTTCCACCTTTGGGGAACAGGGACAATGTCTCAGAACCCCTGAATGGTGACAGAAACCAGATGATGGTGGATCTTTTGGCTAAGCCCAGGAGCCTGCTGAGAGCTGAGATACTCCAGAATTCAGTGGGAGGAGGGGCACCCAGGAGTCAAGCAGGGACTTATTTGGGCAATTTATGGCATCAGCATAGATTCTTCAGCCTCTGTTTCTCCAGGACTATAGTTAGTTACAACTTCCCTGACTTGGGTTTGCCCATTACAAAAGATCTTTTATGATGAGAATGATAAATGATTATGATGATAATATTCATGCCCAGTTTAGTTCAGAAAGAGATGGGCAACAGTAGTACAAGCTACTGTAGAAACAGATAAATGGTACAGCCATGGTAACTAGGTCAGAGGGGCATACTATATCTCTTCATGGAGTGACTTTGGATTCTAGCGGGTACCATGGCTAATAGACACTTTGATTGGGCTCCCGTGTACTCCACTGCAAAGGTGAAAGGGAAGGCAACCAAGACCAGAGGTCTGCCCGCAACGGGGCATCTTTTGGGGGAAATCTACTCCACCTTCTTCTGAAGTAGCAGAAGGTGTGGGAGAGCAAATAATAAGCACCCAGGTCTATTTGGAGGCTGGAGACATTAGAAGGCAAGTTCTTCTCTGTCTCACAGGTCCAACTGATCTCTCAGGCTGGAGACTGATCACTGAGAGTTAATTTCTGTCTCTTTCTGTGGGAAAGTCATGTATGCGTGTTCCTAAATACTTATAGCATGGAGCAGGAATCAGATATGTGGCTCCTAATTCCACGTTTGTAAGTATGTATGTATGGTGGCAGATGTGGGCCTTGGTACAAGCTACATATATCTAACTTATAAAATAGTCTTTCTTTTTTTGTACTGGGAGTTGAACTCAGGACCTTGCGCTTGCCAAGCAGCCACTTACGCCATTTAGCTGTATCCTCAGCCCTTATACAATGCTCTTAGTATAATACCTGGTATAAAATATCCAGAGTGCCACATAGCTTCTGAAGGCCCTTTGAAGATCTAAGAGTTCTTAGATTCTAGAACCCCATAAAAGCTAATACATTTCTCAAGGTCTCATTGTGTTAAAATAGCCACCAAAATAGTAAATGTAGTAAATATGCAGTTGAAAAATATTTCTATTCCAAAATGTTGTTCAGTTTTCTATCAAAGATATTTTGTTGTATAAAATGCACACTATTCAAGGAAGTTTTTACTTTTTATTTTTTATTTTATTTTATTTGGTACCAGGGATTGAACTCACAACCTCACATTTGTCAAGCAGGCACTTATGCTGCTGAGCCAAACCCCAAGCCTTAAGGAAGAATTTTTAAATATAACAAGCAAAGGAGCATATGAAATACTGGTTATACTTTCTACTGTATTAAAGTGATTGAACCATAAATTGGAAGGATTTGTAAGGCTGTAAGATATGTTAGTTTTCTAGTGCTTCATAACAAATGATCTTAAAATTTAATGCTTTAAGAAAGGCACATTTATATCTCTCCATTTTTGAGGGTTCAGGAAGTCAGGAGTCCTTTATCTGGTAATCCTGGCTCATGGAGCTCTCATGAGATTATAGGGCCGAGTTTGACTGGCATGTAAGGGCCCACTTCCAAGATGGCCCACACAGGCGGCTGTTGGAAGGAGGCCTCGTTTCCTTGCCATATAGGCCTTTCCAGAGGACTGCTTGAGTATCTTTTCGGTGTAAACATAGATTTTCTTAGAGGGAGTGGTGGAGAGAGAGGGAGGGAATATGAATATGCAAGAAAGAATTCGGTGCCTTTTGCAACCTAGGTTTAAAAGTAACACCATCAATTCTTCTGCTCACCACAAGTGATTCATTAAATCCCACTAACACTCAGTGAGAGAGGGATTAAGTTCCACCTCATGAAGAGAGGAGAATCAATTTGTGGACTGCATGTGTGTACGTGAGTGTGTGTGAGTGAGTGTGTGTGTGTGTGTGTGTGTGTGTGTGTTACTAGAAACCAAACCCAGGGTGTTCTACCAATAAACTACATTTTCACCCCTTTTTATTTTTGGACAGCCTTGTGTTACACTGCCTGGGTGAGACTCAAAATTTGACATCCTCCTGCTTCATCTTCCCTGAGGGCTGCAAATATAGGCAAACATCACTGCATTTGGTGAGCGAATGTAGTTTTAAAACACCACAAAGCATCTCTAGATCATTAGGTCTTTCTACTGATGAAGAAAAGCACCCTCAGTGATGTGAAACAATTTATACAAGTCAACAGAAAGTACACGACAAAGGCTAAAATGATTATTGAAGTTGCCTGATTTCCAGATTATGCATTGTTAAAAAAGGAACCCACATAAGTTTAATTTTGATGCAAGGAAAGGAACAGAAAAGGGTAAAAGGAAGTGTTACTTCTTATTAGAAGGTTAATAATTTTGCCAAATAAGAATATAATTTTTTCTATGTGAAAAAAATTGATAATGGGGAGAATTTTTTAGCTTCATTATCTATTTAACTGCAATGAGATTTCCATATTACACTTATTATGCAATCTATAGAGTGGTCTCAGCAAAACGCGGCTGATCTGAGCACTTCCAGACACAACCTGGGCAGAACTGAGCTGATCAGACTTTGGATTTGACCACCACGTGTTGCAGGCTTAACCAAGGCATCTGGAACTTGTAGGGCAGAGTATTAGGAGAGAACTAAAGAGAGAGAGAGAGAGAGAATTATGAAGGAGTGTGGAAGGTCTCAAGTAGGTGAGCATGGTGAATCAGAGGAAACTACCCCAACTATCAGACAGGACTACAGGGAATGTGCCTGACACTCACAGAGAGCTGGCGACAGTGTGTGTTCCTACCATTAGTTGTAGACACAATGGTTCCACCTACAAACCTTAGAAGCAAGACCCAAAAGATAAAATTGTTTCCAGCCAATTTAACTGAACCCCAGAGTGAAGCACAAAAGTATAGGATTAAAAAGAAA